CAGGCTTTGCTTATCGCAGACGATCAGCTGATGGAGCACTGACTTTCTTACGGCAGTATTGGGGTTTGATAATTCTGAAATCAGGCTTTGCTTATCGCAGACGATCAGCTGATGGAGCACTGACTTTCTCACGGCAGTATTGGGGTTTGATAATTCTGAAATCAGGCTTTGCTTATTGCAGACGATCAGCTGATGGAGCACTGACTTTCTTACGGCAGTATTGGGGGTTTGATAATTCTGAAATCAGACGTTGCTTATCACAGATGATCAGCTGATGGAGTACTGACTTTCTTACGGCAGTATTGGGATTTGATAATTCTGAAATAAGACTTTGCGTATTGCAGACGATCAGCTGATGGAGCCCTGACTTTCTTACGGCAGTATTGGGGTTTGATAATTCTGAAATCAGGCTTTGCTTATTGCTGACGATCAGCTGATGGAGCACTGACTTTCTTACGGCAGTATTGGGGTTTGATAATTCAGAAATCAGGCTTTGCTTATTGCTGACGATCAGCTGGTGGAGCACTGACTTTCTTACGGCAGTATTGGGGTTTGATAATTCTGAAATCAGGCTTTGCTTATAGCAGACGATCAGCTGATGGAGCACTGACTTTCTTACGGCAGTATTGGGGTTTGATAATTCTGAAATCAGGCTTTGCTTATCGCAGACGATCAGCTGATGGAGCACTGACTTTCTCACGGCAGTATTGGGGTTTGATAATTCTGAAATCAGGCTTTGCTTATTGCAGACGATCAGCTGATGGAGCACTGACTTTCTTACGGCAGTATTGGGGTTTGATAATTCTGAAATCAGGCTTTGCGTATTGCAGACGATCTGCTGATGGAGCACTGACTTTCTTATGGCAGTATTGGGGTTTGATAATTCTGAAATCAGGCTTTGCTTATCGCAGACGCATCAGTTGTTGGAGCACTGACTTCACGGGCAGTATTGGGTTTGATAATTCTGAATCAGGCTTTGCTTATCGCAGACGATCAGCTGATGGAGCACTGACTTTCTTACGGCAGTATTGGGGTTTGATAATTCTGAAATCAGGCTTTGCTTATCGCAAACGATCAGCTGATGGAGCACTGACTTTCTCACGGCAGTATTGGGGTTTGATAATTCTGAAATCAGGCTTTGCTTATTGTAGACGATCAGGTGATGGAGCCCTGACTTTCTTACGGCAGTATTGGGGGTTTGATAATTCTGAAATCAGGCTTTGCTTATCACAGATGATCAGCTGATGGAGTACTGACTTTCTTACGGCAGTATTGGGGTTTGATAATTCTGAAATCAGGCTTTGCTTATCGCAGACGATCAGCTGATGGAGTACTGACTTTCTTACGGCAGTATTGGGGTTTGATAATTCTGAAATCAGGCTTTGCTTATTGCAGACGATCAGCTGATGGAGCACTGACTTTCTTACGGCAGTATTGGGGTTTGATAATTCTGAAATCAGGCTTTGCTTATCGCAGACGATCAGCTGATGGAGTACTGACTTTCTTACGGCAGTATTGGGGTTTGATAATTCTGAAATCAGGCTTTGCTTATTGCAGACGATCAGCTGATGGAGCACTGACTTTCTTACGGCAGTATTGGGGTTTGATAATTCTGAAATCAGGCTTTGCTTATCGCAGACGATCAGCTGATGGAGCACTGACTTTCTTACGGCAGTATTGGGGTTTGATAATTCTGAAATCAGGCTTTGCTTATCGCAGACGATCAGCTGATGGAGCACTGACTTTCTTACGGCAGTATTGGGGTTTGATAATTCTGAAATCAGGCTTTGCTTATCGCAGACGATCAGCTGATGGAGTACTGACTTTCTTACGGCAGTATTGGGGTTTGATAATTCTGAAATCAGGCTTTGCTTATCGCAGACGATCAGCTGATGGAGCACTGACTTTCTTACAGCAGTATTGGGGTTTGATAATTCTCTAATCAGACTTTGCTTATTGCCGATGAATCATGACAGCTAATTGTATTATTACAGCTTATTGTATCTTTACAGTTTATTGTTGTAATACAGTTTGTCTTATTACAGCTGATTGTATTATTACACCTTATTATTTCATTAGAGTTTATTATATCATGACATCGTCTTGTATTATTACAGTTTGCTGTCTTATTACATCTTATTGTTTATTATTACAATGGCTTATCTTACTCTGGAGTTTTGAGTTGTGTGAGCACAATATTTCCAATAAGCAGGTAAAGTCACTGTGTCAGGTAAGGCTGTAGTTACCTGATCCGCAACTCCTAACCCCGCTTTCACAACCTTAGTACCAGCCCATCCCTCCAGAGCACAATTAGCCACAAGTAGCCATAGTATAGGAGCCTAACACATTTTGGGTGATTGTGAATGACATTCATTGGTCTGTACGTGTGAATGCATGCACTCCCTCACCTAAACAAGTTTGCTGTAATCTGTGTAATCCAGTTCTGGGAGGAGATTGCTGTTTGACCACAGCAACATTGCACAATAAAAAATTAACTATGTTTATTTTAACCATTTATCTCACAAAATTCCACCCATGTAATTACATTCTGCTCAATCACAGCTGTACTCAATACATTGTTGAGTCTCTCCTGAAAATAAATCTGTTATAAAATTAGCCCTAATCGCTGCAGTGATAACTTTAATCGTTAAAGTTCCAGTGAATTGATAGTCTGTAATAACAGAATGTAACAACTCGCTGGCCCATGTTGCACCATAAATGTAACTATGGCTTGTTATCAATATTGTGCTGTGTGACGTAACTGTTACACTGTTTCTTGGGGTAACGAGAGCGAGAGAAAAATGGGCAGAAAGCACATCAGATCAGAATGAAGAGCAACGATTATGGGATAATAGGCAAATATGTTGGTGCCATGTTATTATCAGTTAATTGGTTTATTAAATTAAAAAAAACAAAAGGAAGATTGTTTGCAAACCAAAGCTGTAATACCAGCTAAATACACATCTCCAGTTCCCTGACTAAGAGCACTCCCATAATAATGTTTATGCACCACTTACGGAGGGGCTGCTGCCTTCTTATCTCCTGCTGCCATGGTTGCATTGCGGAGTGAAGCCCTGCACAGCACAAGCGCTCTGTCTATAGAACCAGGATCTCTTATCCCAATTTTCTGTTTGCACATCATCTTCAGTCAGAGGGGAACGGCTCAGCTCCATTTTACTTTTTAATAACATTTTAGAAATCGCTATGCTTCGGGTAAACACAAGTTTGATTGCTGGGAGGATGGAAGTAGCTCCCTCATCCATGGCATATTTGATCTGTTTCTGTAGGGATTAGAAAGACTGGGGGAGGGAGGGTTTACCAGCTGAATAACAATGGGGGAACAGACGACCCGCATTGCCGCTCTTCGTCAAAAAAATGATTTGAGGCAAAATAACCTTTTCTGTGCCAGGAATACCTGAAGAAAGTGCCACAGTGTGCGTTTCGACATTATTGGCAAATCAGAAGTGAGCTGGACTTGGCGTAAAAATATACTACTGGTTATTCTTCACGAAACGGTTACACGCTGACAATTAGCAGTATTTTAATTACCAATGAATTTAGTGACAAGCGGTGCTCAGTATCACAGCGACAGAGCCAAGAAACAACTATAAACAGGGCTGAAATTACATTTCAGGGCCTGCAGGCATGGACACCACTATAGCCCCCCAAAATATAGAGGCCGCTGTTGCTGCCAACATGGTTTTGAAGATACACAAGTAAGCCATCTCTGCCTCCTTTTCTCACAAATAAAAAAAAAAAATGCAATCACATTGTAGCAAAATGAAAAACGTACATGAAATATATCAAAAGGGAATAAAATTACATTTACAAAATTTTGCATTGAGGGCACCCCTTGTAGACAGGTGCCTGTAGTCATCTGATTGCTCTGGCCCCGGCTGTCTGTGTGGTCTGTGGTTCATCCTCAGAACGCCACTTGTGAAAGAATAGAGTGATACACTGGGGAGAAACAATTTAACAAAGCACAGCATTATAAAAATGGAACATTGGTTTTTAATGTAATATTTATTTAACTCCTTAATTTAGTCAATTCTTATTTGTGGAGTGTAAAAAAATAAAATAAAATGTAGAAATCCACAATGCTTTATCCTGTCACTGGCCACCTCCATCTTAGCTCCCTGTCAATCATTGTTATAAGCTCCGCCCTTTACACCTGGCAGTCAGTATAGAGAGAGCCGCCTCCATCTTAGCTCCCTGTCAATCATTGTTATAAGCTCCTCCCTTTACACCTGGCAGTCAGTATAGAGAGAGCCGCCTCCATCTTAGCTCCCTGTCAATCATTGTTATAAGCTCCTCCCTTTACACCTGGCAGTCAGTATAGAGAGAGCCGCCTCCATCTTAGCTCCCTGTCAATCATTGTTATAAGCTCCCCCCTTTACACCTGGCAGTCAGTATAGAGAGAGCCACCTCCATCTTAGCTCCCTGTCAATCATTGTTATAAGCTCCGCCCTTTACACCTGGCAGTCAGCATAGAGAGAGCCGCCTCCATCTTAGCTCCCTGTCAATCATTGTTATAAGCTCCGCCCTTTACACCTGGCAGTCAGTACAGAGAGAGCCGCCTCCATCTTAGCTCCCTGTCAGTCATTGTTATAAGCTCCGCCCTTTACACCTGGCAGTCAGTATAGAGAGAGTCACCTCCATCTTAGCTCCCTGTCAGTCATTGTTACAAGCTCCGCCCTTTACACCCGGCAGTCAGTATAGAAAGAGCCACCTCCATCTTAGCTCCCTGTCAATCATTGTTATAAGCTCCGCCCTTTACACCTGGCAGTCAGTATAGAGAGAGCCGCCTCCATCTTAGCTTCCTGTCAATCATTGTTATAAGCTCCGCCCTTTACACCTGGCAGTCAGTATAGAGAGAGCCACCTCCATCTTAGCTCCCTGTCAATCATTGTTATAAGCTCCGCCCTTTACACCTGGCAGTCAGTATAGAGAGAGCTACCTCCATCTTAGCTCACTGTCAATCATTGTTATAAGCTCCGCCCTTTACACCCGGCAGTCAGTATAGAGAGAGCCGCCTCCATCTTAGCTTCCTGTCAATCATTGTTATAAGCTCCGCCCTTTACACCTGGCAGTCAGTATAGAGAGAGCCGCCTCCATCTTAGCTCCCTGTCAATCATTGTTATAAGCTCCGCCCTTTACACCTGGCAGTCAGCATAGAGAGAGCCGCCTCCATCTTAGCTCCCTGTCAATCATTGTTATAAGCTCCGCCCTTTACACCTGGCAGTCAGCATAGAGAGAGACACCTCCATCTTAGCTCCCTGTCAATCATTGTTATAAGCTCCACCCTTTACACTTGGCAGTCAGTATAGAGAGAGCCGCCTCCATCTTAGCTCCCTGTCAATCATTGTTATAAGCTCCGCCCTTTACACCTGGCAGTCAGTATAGAGAGAGCCGCCTCCATCTTAGCTCCCTGTCAATCATTGTTATAAGCCCCGCCCTTTACACCTGGCAGTCAGTATAGAGAGAGCCGCCTCCATCTTAGCTCCCTGTCAATCATTGTTATAAGCTCCGCCCTTTACACCTGGCAGTCAGTATAGAGAGAGCCACCTCCATCTTAGCTCCCTGTCAATCATTGTTATAAACTCCGCCCTTTACACCTGGCAGTCAGTATAGAGAGAGCCGCCTCCATCTTAGCTCCCTGTCAATCATTGTTATAAGCCCCGCCCTTTGCACCTGGCAGTCAGTATAGAGAGAGCCGCCTCCATCTTAGCTTCCTGTCAATCATTGTTATAAGCCCCGCCCTTTACACCTGGCAGTCAGCATAGAGAGAGCCGCCTCCATCTTAGCTCCCTGTCAATCATTGTTATAAGCTCCGCCCTTTACACCTGGCAGTCAGTATAGAGAGAGCCGCTTCCATCTTAGCTCCCTGTCAATCATTGTTATAAGCTCCGCCCTTTACACCCGGCAGTCAGTATAGAGAGAGCCATCTCCATCTTAGCTCCCTGTCAATCATTGTTATAAGCTCCGCCCCTTACACCTGGCAGTCAGTATAGAGAGAGCCATCTCCATCTTAGCTCCCTGTCAATCATTGTTATAAGCTCCGCCCCTTACACCTGGCAGTCAGTATAGAGAGAGCCGCCTCCATCTTAGCTCCCTGTCAATCATTGTTATAAGCTCCGCCCTTTACACCTGGCAGTCAGTATAGAGAGAGCCACCTCCATCTCAGCTCCCTGCCAATCATTGCTATAAGCTCCGCCCTTTACACCTGGCAGTCAGTATAGAGAGAGCCGCCTCCATCTTAGCTCCCTGTCAGTCATTGTTATAAGCCCCGCCCTTTACGCCTGGCAGT